CAACTGGTATGATGTCCAGTTCAAACTCATTGCAACCCACAATTGTTTTTATACGCCTGTTTCTTTTACCTTTCTTGTTTTTATTTGTCTATTTAATTAATATACATTGATTAGTAGCGAAGTGAATGGTAAAGAAATCCCTCAAATAATTTTTGGATATACTTTGTTGCTTTATTTTCTTGTACTGGAAAGGTCCATATCATAGGAGTAAAGAGTAATAGAATATATTATTTTTTTTATTGCAACAAATGATGCACTATAAAAACCATTATGTATGTACAAATGTGATATTGGAGACATTAAGTCTGCAGTATATAAATATGTATGTTTTTATTGCACATTAGTGCATATATTTTAACTCAATAGGAACTACATCTTAATAGTTTGAATTTTTGGTGACTTTTTGTAATCATTTTAAAAAATATTTGCAAGATTCATATAAAACTGTTTGAAAAGTATTTAAAAAAAAATAAAAATATTAGAAATGTAAGAAAAATTTTGATGAAAAAATGTGTAGAAGTCACTAAAACCACTAATAATGCCTCCTGATTTGAGGAAACGCATGAATGCTATTTACACCGGATTGAAATGTTAAAATTGGTGTTTATGATATTGCTTCGGAAATATTGCGGATGGACAATATTTAAGAATAAAGCTTCATAGAATTGAAGAAATCAGATGTGAGACATAAATAAATTTGTAATGTATTTTAACACTACAATTCATACCAATAGTAATTTTGTTTTTGTTTTATACTATTAAATTCAAAAACTTATTAAATGTACACAATTTTGATTTCATCACTGAAATGCTGTTTGATGCCTTAAACATTATACACCGAACAAACATACAAACATGCGTATAATGTAATACAGAGGGTTGCATGTATGATTGAATACGTATGCTTTCGGGCTTTTGTGGTCCTTACTTGACTCACATATAGGTTTGATCTGAACATCATTCCAGTTGTGACTCAATCGAACATTGTTGCATGAGATTGGGTGGATTTATTATAAGCAAAATAAAGTGAGTATTTCGTTTGTATGAGCGTGACACTTCTTTGTACTATAGATTCTTTGCTTCTACACACCAAATGTAAAAAACAAAAACAAGCAACCGAACAAGAGACTATAATTGAAGGCGCAAAAAAAATGCGGGCCACTTACAACCCAAAATCCAACCATAATTTCGATTCGTTTATCATCTTTCAGAAGTTTCAATGCATCGTCTTCTCTAGATTATTTTTGCAAATTACACGTAATTTGAAATTTGGAAACTAAATTACAAATAACGATTATACTGTTATTCGTAATTGAGGTTTTCAATTAAATTACCCATATAATTTGGAAATTCAATTATCAATTATAATTACTCTGTAGTTGTAATTTAATTTGTAATCAAATTTTGTTTACGCACCTGAAAAAACTTCGTCGTAGAGAGGAACTCAGTATAGGGAGGTTCACTATATTTATAACGAACCTGTATTTATATAAAAAAACTTTATCAAAAAATTATCTGCAGGTATTTTGTATTTATATATGTATGTTTTATCACCTGCAAATTTGTTTAAAATTGTTTTACTTGTCATATGTTTAGTTATTTAAGCAGTGATGTCAAAGTGATTCTTAAACAAGCAGAAGTTGTTCTATTAAAGCATTCATGTCAAAAGAATACAACTATACTTATTTGAAATATTAACTAAAAAATTCTAACACTAAAATGCCAAAAAAAGTGAAAACCAAAAAAATATAGATGCTGTATTAAATGAATACGTTTGTGTAATTAATAGATATATAATGGTTCATCCATTCTTTTCTTTAAAAAATTTAAAATCGTTGATACACTCTTTTCATCAAGTTCTAGTACCATTCACAATAGTCTTGCGAAATCAATGCATTCGCAAACTCAATAGGCTCTTGGTATTGCAAGTTATCATTTTTATCTCATGTATTTAAATTAATTTATTTATTTATATGTATTTGAATTTATTAGTAAATAAAATGCTCATATGATTTTGTCTTATAATCGAAATTTTCCAATGAACATTCACAATAGACTGATAACACATTTTCAATGAACATTCACAATAGACTTATTCTTAAATTTGGCTGCGCTGAAACTTAAAACTGAACATTTTTGCGAGTAAACGTAACTCTGAAAATTTTAAGAGCATTGTTGTTGTTTCTAATATTTTCTTCCGTAAGTTGCGAGTATTTTTTTTGCTGCTCTGAATGCAGATTCTCTACTGCAAAGCTGCTGAGTTGGTTTAAAGGAATGCAAAAAATAAATTATAATTAAAGCACTCAGAAAAGTATACTGTAACCGCATACAGATTTATAAATCTGATTGATTTTGTTAGGAAAATTTTAGTGGCATGTGGTAAAAACCCAACATGTTGCGTCGTGTAAGAATATTTAGACCTGAGATTTAGTTAAAACCTGGTTTTACCTAGTCAACCAAATTCTTTTTATTCATTTGCGATTAATTAGACCAAAAAAAATCTGTTTAATTGTTAAATTGGTTGAAACACAGTTTTTGACAGTGACATCACTTCTGTCACTTTTGAAAAATGTCTTATGACTTAACATAAGACCCATATCTTACATTTTTCAAACTTCTGATGGTAGCCATGATGAAGTGGAAGAATGCGTCATCTCACGTCACACAAAGAATATTCCATGGAATAATATCCATGGAAGAATATGTTATCTGACGTCACACAAATAATTTTCAACGAAAAACTTAAATCGAATTTAAATTGCTATTTATGACCTAGTTTTATAAAAATTAAAAACCCATTCGAACGATCATATCAAAGTTACAAAAAATCTATCGATGAATGGAATAAAATCTAGCCCAAATTATTTTGGTTTTATGGTAGTTTTATGTCCACCTATTAGTTTCAACCTATTACTAGTCATTGTCGACTTTATGATATTTACTTTCCAAGTTTATGATTTCATAATTTTGGTATATTTGTGGAGTTTAGAGAGATATATGCGAAAAAACTAAAACTATTATTTTTCAATTTTTCTAAGTGATTTTCAAATTTTGTTGATTAAGTGAAGAAAACATGAGGTTAATTATTAGGTCATTGGCAAGCCCTTAAATCTTTTGTTGCGATCTTGGAGAATGCATGCTAAAGCTGTTCAAATAACTCATAGCATTTATGGATTAATAGTCATGTTTTCCAAATTTCTTGCACACAATAACTCATCCACTTTATTTAAGGATTTTTGATTAGAAATACAAGATTTTATAGAAGTGCATGGAAAACTACTTTAAAGTTCGCGCGGAAACTTTGAATGCCACTTCAACATTTAACTGCCAAAATATTTAAGTGAAAACTCACTAAAGTACACTTTGGCAGACTTAATGCAATAGTTTTCCCAACTTGTGTTACATATTGGACAGATAAAAGAGAAATCTTTCCCTATTGCAGTTATATAGAGAACTGAATAACTTTTAATAGCTTCTCGTCAAATAGAGATTTTCATGGGAAAATTTTGAAAGTTAAAAAAATTTATTTCCTAAATTAAAAAAAAAAACTAAGTAAAAAAATTAAATCATGAATACAGCAAACGTCAATTTAGAAAGTTCAAAGCGTCAACTTGAGAAGTTTTCACAAAATGTTTTAAATTGTGTGAAAATCCAAAAGGAAAACTTTAAGAAAATGGGGTGAAGTTATTGCGAATATAAAGAAAAAAAATGAAAGTGAAGATAAGCAACTTTACGTTGATTGCTGCTTATCAAACTATGAAAAACTGTTTCAACACAGTTTGCATTTCAAACTGCAATTGTATCTAAAGATTTGAGTTTCTTATCGTATCATTGATGTCATTTACGTGTCTATTTCAAATTTTATAAATACAAATATTGCACACAAAATGAAAATAATGCATCCAAATATTCTTATCCAATTTTCCCATTTTTTCTCAATTGTTTCTTAACTCGACCAATAGACTCACTTTCACTGTCCAAGTGAGAAGCTAAAAATAAGTTTATAGTTTATATTTTAAGATTTAAGGATATATTTTAACTTCATCCGACAGTTTTTTGGCACAAATCAGCTGTTTGAAATGAGAACAAATTAAGTACACCCAATGTAAACACTTACTTTTAAATGAGTGATTTAAAATGGGTCATTTCCGACCTGTGTAAACGCCATATTGAAAAAAATAGAATATTAAGAAATATAAGAAATATTACGAAATATATAAAAAATAATTTTAAACTTTTATTAAGGATGTGTGCGAGTTGTGCTATGTTAAGTTGTTGCTAAACCAAATAGGATTTTCCTTGAGATTTTTACACTGCACACATTTAGCCATTTGGTTCAAAAAAGTCAGCGAGTTGCTTTTTGACAGCTAATATCAGCTGTGAATATATTTTGATTTCAATACTCTGTTTACATATTTTGCAATGGCGGAGAACATGCCTTTTAAGAAATTATAAAAGTAAATTTTAAAATATTTATATATTTATACACTAAGTATCATAAAATGATTATTAATTTGTAATGGAATTATCATTTCTTGGATCTTCACAATTAGAAATTAAAAACTTAAAATAACATTTACGTTTTTTTATCTGCTAATTTTTAAAATGAAAAATTTTGCACCATGCCACAGTAAGAATCAGTGGGAAGATTGACATTGCCACTTAAAACTTTAAAGGAAGTTTTACCGTTCGCATGAAAAAAGGATCAAGTAGGATCCAATAAATCAAAGGACTTATCTAGGCATCGACAACAATATTACCAATAGTACCAATATTTTTCAAGCAAATACTATCGTTAAAGGCAAAAATTCAATATGTTAAAGTCCAGCGGTTCTAATCGCGTGTATCAGCGACTGAGTAACATTAGTTTAAAGTATGATACCCTTATTTTGAAGCTATTCAGGTCACCATCATTCAGAGTTAACTATCACAAAGTGTTACTAATACCGTATTTACACTACAAGATTAAAATTAAATAGCTAAATCAAAAATTGTATTTGTCATAAAGACAACAGCATACGAATATCATTATTGTCAGTAACATTCCAACACGTTTGATCAATTGTATTAATAAGTTTACTATTTGCATTAAATGATAGTAAGGGACGTACACAATCAACGTGACCACAACTAGCATAATGTAACGCAGTCTGTTCTTTACCATCACGCAAATCTACATTAGCACCCCAATTGAGTAAGAAATGTAAAATTTTAAATGCATTGTGGTCTACTGCCCTGTGGATTAAACCCATATCATTTTCTTCTAAGTCACTCAGTTGTGCAAGTGTTAGATTCATTTGTAAAACTTCCAAAGATTCATCCTTCATCCTTATCATCCTTTTCATGTTCAGCTTTTTGTACTACATCATTTGGCGATAGCTCAGTAAAATGAACTACCCAACTAAAGGCAGATTTACATTTTTGTGCACTTTTTAACTTTGGCTACCAAAGTGGAACCAGTTGTTTCACCTTTTTAATATATAAATTGTTCACAAATATTGTTGAAAAAAATTTTTCAAACATCATAAATGATCAAAACAGTATTGCCAAGTCCAAGCAATATTAGTTCTATCAATTCAATTAGTTCTTTGGAAACAGCCACTATAATAAAACTTTGTCAAATAAATGTATATAATATTAAATAAAAGTCATAAAAATTTTAGAAAATACAAATATTTACAATATTTATTGCAAATGCTCATTAAATAATGAAAAATATATGTTAAAAGTTTTCTAATTAGGATGATTAATTTTTTTTAATATAAATAAAATAAAACGTTTTAATAAAATTATTTCTCTTTGAAATTTTCTATATTCATATATTCATTTAAATTCACGTATGAAAATATTATCTTATGAAAATACTAAAGTGACAGCCCTGGCGATTTAGTCTCGACTTAGCCATCTCGCAAATATGCTAAGTACCAACACATCACTACATCATCGACACAACTTAGAATTTTCCTCATTTAGAACGCAACTTAGCACAACTCGCACACGACCTAAGTACCAACATATCACTACATCATCGACACAACTTAGAATTTTCCTCATTTAAAACGCAACTTAGCACAACTCGCACACGAACAAAGTATCAACACATCCCTACATTATCGACACAAATTAGATTTCCCTCATTTAGAACGCAACTTAGCACAACTCGCACACGACCTAAGTACCAACACATCCCTACATTATCGACACAACTTTAAAACGCAACTTAAAGGTTGTTTTTGGGACATTGATTTTTAACAATATTTTGTGTGAATTCCACGCATACGATTTTTCTGATTTTTACTTTATTTGAAAGCTTACTTTTTTGCCGTTCAAACACATATACACGCAGTTCCATCGAACTCTGACTTGTTTTTTAATAATTTTTTAAATACAAGAAGTCAGTTTTTTTAAAAAATTTGGTTTTTTTTATTTTTTGAATATTTTAGCTATCATATTTCTTATTTCGTGAAAAAGCTTTAATTTAGCTAATATTAACAAATTAACAAACTTAGAAAAATTTCGTGTTCCATTTTCGGTTTGGACCTCCCAGCATCGTTGCTATTCTGGCACTAGCAATTCTTGGGTAGCAACCAAAAATATCTTTCAAAATCTCGTCTGGTTGCAACTCTGCGTGCATTTCCTCAAACTAGTCGAACTGGTTTCCTGTTTCATTGCACACGCATTTACTGTAAGACACTTTCAATGCAAAAAAAAGAGTTGCAAAAAATGTTTGCTAAAAAAAGTGAATAGTGAATAATAGTGAAATTTAGTGGGCTTTAAATAATAATAAAAAAATTTATCAAATAAGCGAAATTTGTTGCGATGGAACAGAATGTGGTAAAAACTACTAAGAACTATCAAGCAACCAATGAAATTCAAAATGTGACGTCATCAAATTTAAAACCAATGACGACAAACACAAGCACAATAGCTAAAACCGGAACTGATAAGATAATTCATGAAGCGGTCCCAACTTTGTCAAGTACGGCAGAAGATTGCTTTATTACACAAGCCTGCGACAGTAATTCCATCAACATAAAGAAATACGATAAAAATGTATGTGAAAACAACTTCGCCGATAAAACAATTAAATCTCAATCAGTCGGTAACACTACCAAGGTTATTGTTAATGCCGATGCTGTGACCGTCAACATAAACACATCGTCAGTGTCATCGCTGTTCTGTGATGAAACAGAAAAACCTCATGATGTGTTAGATACCAAACTAGGAGTTGAGCGGCCTTATAATGGTGGGAAGAAAACTGCTGAATTCAGTGAAGTTGGGGCTGACAAAGATGATTTGTGGAATATTATACAAGCAAATTACATTTACATTATGAACACAAGTCTATTAGACATTTGTCAAGAAACTCAGACGGAAATAGAAAATAAACCAATCGTTCAATCAGTTAACTCTTGCAATAGTAAACGTGATCAAACAAATCATAATGAGAGCTTATTTGAGAATACTACAGACTTAGTTAATTGGTTATGTGAAATGAAACAAAAGCTATCGATTGCACTAACGTCATCACGAGCAGCGAACTTCAGTTTTGCAGAATTGCAGCGACAAAAAAAGGAATACTCGTTATTATACCAAGAATTATTATCGCGTGCTCAAGACATAAGCATATTGAAACATACAACTTCAACAGCAACTCAGACAATAAAATCTTCCAGTGTTGAAACTAAAGTTACCAATTCTTCAAGTCGGTATAAGAACTTCAATGCTGACAGTGAACCAGAAAGCTCAAGCGCAGATTTGGCAGCGGGTCTGATGAAATGTGAAGGAAACCTAGAGCGTTTAGAAAATTGTTATCATTTGCTATGTTTAAAAGCATTAGAGGTGCAAATTTATTTAGATGGTCTAATAACTAATAAGACCTGGACACCAAGCGGAAACAGCGACATCGAAAAAGACAAAAATGATTATTCATTGGAGGCGTATGTCGATAGTGATAATGCTACCAAAGAAAAATATTTTTCTACTAAAAATAATAATTCATTATCATTAAGTGGATTGAAATGTTCCAATATTGATAAGAAACACTTGTCAATAGCAACAAAGTCTCCAGCAAGAGCAATGCAAATTCATAAGTGCATGGGAAATAAGTTAGACAAATCTACGGATTTATTATCGAACAGCAGTGCAAGTGATTCATATACAACGACACCAGTTGACGACGATTTGGATTGTTTGAGTTCTAACTCTTCGAGTATCACGTTAAATTCCTCCATATTTGACGCTGAATTTCAATATTGTAGAGTATTAACTTCTACTCCAATAAAAATCACTACAACTGCTTGTGTTCACAACAATTCAGATAAAGAGAATGAAGAAACTTCAGTACATAATAATAGACTTGAAAATAAATTATGTTTCGACGGGCGTTCAAACGTCCGCAGTATTAGTGTCAATCCAAGCCAAATGTTTAGTTCCAAAAAATTTTCACATTCAAGACCACAACTTAATTCGGACACATTTCAAAGTTATAAATATGCGGCTATGGGAGAAGTATCGTCATGTGTACAGAAATCGCCAGATCAACCTACGACATGTTCACTGATGCATAACAAAGAATATATTATCGGAGGAATCAATAAACCTAAATATGATTATAGTAGTTACGATTGTGAAGCTTCTGATGAATCATCTGAAACAGACCCACCTGCACAATCGATGTCTGCTTTTTCTAAAAGTTATACTAGTTCCACGGCAACTGACGTGCAAACAAATACAAAATCTTATGAAAATTTTTCGAAATATACGAATAATACTTCTAAAAATGATTTTGATAAGAATAAACAGAGTTCAAATATTGTCAAAACAGTCGAAAAGCATCAAAACCATTTAGACTGGAAGTCAAACTATCCATACTCATCGTCGTGTTTGTCACAATTAACCACTGCAACGGAAATAGCAAGAAAAGTTAATAATTCAAAAGGTCTATATAATGATTTGATGAGAATCTCAGCATTAAATTCATTGTCAGCTGAAGGTCCAAATGTTCGTTCCACAGTTGAAGAATCTAGTAAATCACCTATTAAAAGATATTATAGCGAACGTTTGTTTAAACATGGCAATATACACAAGAATGAACTTTCGAATTTGCTTACAGATTCATTCACTTTAGCCACAAAGAAATTAGATGCATTGTCACCGCCACGTACAGATCCGTTTCAACAAAATAAGGTAAATATTATAAAACGAGACGGTATAGCAAACAGCTTCAACCAAACTAGACGTCGTCGAAAACTCCGTTTAGAATGGAAGCGTAAACTTAAATCACCAAAGGTTCGTAAACTCTATGGAGAATTTTTAGGCACTCAATCAAGCAGTTCATTCACATTATTATCATCTTCACTTAACGCTTTTAGAGATGAAAAGTTTGTCTATCAAAAACAACGAATAGTTTCAAAAAATTATAAACTTGATTTAGAAGTCAGTAATTCAACTCAAGCATTTCGTTGCACCTCCGCAAGCGATTTTTTTAACAATAGCTATAAAGTTAATGAACATCATCGCTCGCCTAAACGTGTAAATAAGAGTATAGTTGCATCTATACACAATAATTCCAACGATGACAACGAAATTTATAATATATTTCAACAAAATTGGAACCATTCGGTAAGTACGCATACTTATCAATTACGTTCAGAACTTCCAAACTCTTTGCGCGACCTGTCTTGTGCGGTACTTTCAACAGAATATGGCAGCCAGACTAAAGATATATATACTTTTGACACTTGGAAGGAACTATCGTTTTGGTGTGAAAGTGAAATAATGGCATACAAAATGCAAAACGAGATGATTAAACTTAAGCACGAAATTTATCGTTTGGGTAACCGATCACCATTTGAGTTATTTGATATTAAACAAGCAATTCAAATTGCCATTGAGTCGCTGAAGAATGAAAGTATGCAATTGCAAAACTTCTTCATCAACATGCGACGTTTAAGTGCTTCCGTCCACAGTTGGCTAGCAAAAGGGGAAAGTAAGCTACACGCATCTTTGAACAATCAAAAGTTGGAGAACGCTTCAGTAAAAGTGGCAATGAAGCGCAAAATTGTATTGGAGAAAAAAGAACCTAAAGAACCTATATCTAAAGATGACTCAGCAAATAACACCACTTCCCTTATAGCACCAGAATCAACTACTCTAAAAATAACAGTTCCAAACAGGAATGGTAATCAGCTAAAAACGTTGTCAACTACTCCAAATGCTAGCCAAAGAACAAAAGTAACATCAACAGTTTTATTAGCAACCGCAAATACTAACTTAGACAACCAGTGGGATCTATATCCTCTGATGAAATCGGAAAGCAAGCTTT